ATCATATCATCTCGACCTTAAGTTTGGAATTAAATAAAAAATTTAAAATTTTATTAGATATTTTTTTACAAAAATTTTAATAATTTAAGAAATAAAGTTGTAATTTAATATTTTAGTTGGCCATTTAATGCAAAACTGACTATTTTCAATAATTTAAAATGAATATAGGAATATAGGGGTTAGATTGGAAAGGTATTTTGTGAACCACGTTTTTATTATTGAATTTCCACCGGTTTAATTAATAATATCTGTCTAGTTAATAATTAATATTAATAATAAATAGGTTAAATAAAAATATACATTAATTTTATGTTTTATTTAAAAAATATTTTTAAAATTTTAAAATTTTAAATAATATACTTATAAATATCCTTAAATTTTCCAAGAAGTTTGAATTAAAATCGTTAATATTTTATTTAAAAAATATTATTGACTTTTAAAATAGTTTAAAAAATACTCTATTTAAGTTTTCAAATTTTCATTTATATCTTTAAATTTTTAGTTTAAATAAAAGTTAAAAAATAAGATTATTAATTTACTCCGATAAAGTTCTAAGTAAAAATATTAATTTTTTTTATTAAGGATATTAATAAAATTTTTAGAAATTCATATAAATTTAAAAATTTAAGTATATTCATGAAAATTTATAAAATAATTTTTGGAAGTTTAAGTGTAATTTTTAGATAAAATGTGAATTTCAATGATATTTTTATTAATTTATATATATATTATTTTAAAAATAATTATTGGATTTTCCGAATTCTAAGAAGAGTACTGCGACAGGCAGGCCCCTGGGCTTGTTCTGTGTTGGGTTCGTTCCATTTTTCGCGAGACTTTGAAGAGAGAGAAGAAGAAGAGGTTTTCTGGAACACGGTGGTGGCCGCCATGGAAGCAGCTTCCTTCATGGATTTTCAATATTCAAAGCGATAGCGAATGACAGAGCAGAAGCTAATTCGTTGAAGATTATGGAACACACACACAAAAAACGTAGATTTCATTCTCATATATTATATTTATATATATTTTAATAACGAGTATCACATTGCTGAAAGGTTTCGTAGAAGATTTGTCTTATGTTGAGAATCAAAATTCTTGCACATCATTCTCCTCACGTTATCGTTTCCGATCATCCTCAACTTCTTCTGTTGTTGGTCATTTGCTTCAACCCTAGTGTTTAGGCTTTTGGTTTTGATCCCTCGCTTTCCGCTGGTTCGTTCCTTTTTTTTCGTGTTCATCTAAGGAAGTTTGGGAACGAGGACGGAAATCAAGATATCTTCGGCGAAAATCCTGGTTTCTGCGTCGGATTTTGTGGGGGGTGGGTCGGCGATTAGTAGGGTTTTACCAGGACCGGGAGAGACTTTGGAATCAAGCCGATTTTGTAAGTTATATGTGGTTACATGCTGGGAGTTGGGATAATTGGTTGAAGATTGTGGGGTAGTTTTAGAATTGAATAGTTTAGAAGGTTGATATACTTTGTAGACTGCATTGATTTTTTAGGATTTTAGATCAGACTACTCTAGCTGTGAAGTAGTGATTTGAATTTTCGGATCTTAGTTGAGGGCTAAGGTTTTAATGCTGGGATTCTAAAGTCTAGCAGAAACGGCGTAACGCAATCTGGAAGAACGGCCGATTTGACTTTCCTTGCCGTGCCTCGGTCGTAGAGGGCGGATAGGTTCATCACTTTTGGGATTGATACCCCTTTTGTGTGAAAAAGAAGGGTTTAATTTGGCCGATTAATCTTGTCTTCTGGGAACCTGTGGTTGAGATTCTTCGTTGTGGATAAGATGAGCTCAAGCTTGATAGATGCTGGTGCAAACAGCGGCAAATTGCTGGTTCATGTTTCTGAAAATGGACACTCATTTCAGCTTGACTGCCACGAGGGTATGCTGGTTGAGGATGTGATGCGTTTGATTGAATCCGTCACTGGCATTAACTACAATGATCAGTTTATTCTTTCTTTGGACGTTAGACTGGAATCACAGCGACCCCTTTCGGCTTACAAGCTTCCAGCAGATGATCGGGAAGTTTTCTTGTTCGATCGATCCAGGCTACAAAGCAATTCGCCTCCGCCTCCACCAGAGCAGATCGATATCCTTGATATTGTTGACCTACCATCACCTTCCTCTTCTCAAGATTCCCATCCTTTAGATGGTGCCTCAGATCCTGCTTTGAAGGCTTTGCCTTCTTATGAGCGGGAGTTTCGTTACCACTACCACAAGGCTCATGCAATATACAGTAGTACGGTGATGAAATTTGATTACTGTGAGAGGCTTTTGAGAGAGCAGAAGGTTCAAGAGAGAGCTTTAGAAGTTGCAAGGGGTAATTTGGATCAATACTATAAAATGATTAATCAGAACTACACAGATTTCATGAAACGTTATTCGCAACAGCATCGGGTTCATTCTGATCTGTTGATGAATTTGGGTAGAGACATTGAGAAATTGAGGTCAGTTAAGCTTCATCCTGCCTTACAAACAGCCAATCGCAAGTGCTTACTGGATTTTGTGAAGGAGGATAGTTTGCGGAAATCAGCAGAAAATTGCAGCAGTTCGCACAGCCAGTTCGAGAACAAAGTTGTTAGATTTAAGGTGATATTTAATGAGGTTAAGCGGAAAGTTGAAGATTTATTTTCGAGCAGGGCTTCTATTTCTATAAAAAGTCTGGAACTGAATATTAAGGAGCATCAGCGGTATATCAATGAACAAAAGAGTATAATGCAGGCCTTGAGGTTAGCTCCTGTTTACTTCTGCCATAGCTCAGGCATCATACCCTCCATACTACTATCATCTGTTTGGTCTTTGGCGTGTGAATCTGCAGTCTCAAATAAAAAATTTACCTTTACTTTTTCCTGTAGTCCTCTCAGTGTATTCAGTATCTATTCCTTATGTTCGTCACTTCTTTCTTAGACTGGTGATTTAGTTACTTTATTCTCATGGTTCATGCTTTTGGTACAATCTGAATATTGTTTCATGTTTGCATGTCTATTGCAGTAGTTATCAATTGTTGAAGTGTGTTTGGGAGGTAGCTAGGTTTAAGGTTTCCTTGTGAAAGTTGGTCACCAAGCCTTTATGTAATTATAAACTTGATCTTATTCTTTTGGATTGGAGTCATTTTTGTAATTAGGGTCAGACTCCCTTTTTCTTTTCTGTTGGGGCTTGTTTTGTTATTTTTGTATCCTTGTATATTCTTTCATTCCTCTGGTTTCTTACCCAAAAAAAAAAAAAAAAAAAAAATTTGTTCGAAGTGTGTTTACATTGATTGAAAGTTTGTGCGTAATAATGCAGCAAAGATGTCGATACTGTAAAGAAACTGGTGGATGATTGCCTATCTTGTCAGTTATCTTCCTCAATTCGCCCTCATGATGCGGTTTCGGCCCTAGGTCCCATGTATGATATCCATGACAAAAATCATCTGCCAAGAATGCTAGCTTGTGATCGTACAGTTTCCAAACTACTTGATGTTTGTAAGGATAAAAAGATTCAAATGAACAACTTCCTGCACTATTACATGCAAAAGATTGCTTATAACTCTTACATCATCAAGGATGTTAAATTACAGTTTCCTGTATTTAAAGAGGCAATGGGTCGCCAGGAGGACCTATTTTTGGACCTAAAGTTAGTGCGAGGGATTGGTCCAGCCTATAGAGCTTGTCTTTCTGAAGTTGTGAGAAGGAAAGCTTGCATGAAGCTTTACATGGGTATGGCTGGTCAAATGGCTGAAAGGCTTGCAAGAAAGAGGGAGGATGAGGTTAGGAGACGTGATATGTTTCTAACGGAACATAATGGATATTTTCCAAGAGATGTAATAGAATCCATGGGATTAAATGACATTCCTAACCCATGTGATGTCCATATAACTCCTTATGATGACCGTTTAATTGATGTTGATATTTCAAATCTCGACCGTTATGCTCCCGAGTACTTGTTAGGATTTCCTTTGAAGAGTGAGAAGCCAGGAGTCACCAAGGATTCCTCTATAAAATCGGTTGGAGCTTTGAGTTCTGTTGAGGCTGAAGAAATTTCAAAGGACACCTTTGAGAGTTATAGCTCTGGGGAGCTTGTTGAAGGTTCTGAGTTGGTAGAGATTGCTGGAACCAGCAAGTTGGAAGTTGAAAATGCAAAATTGAAAGCTGATCTTGCTTCTGCTTTAGCCACGATCTGTTCATTCTCTCCAGAATATGATATAATTGATGACAGCAAACTTGACGGTATCTTAAAGAATGCTGCTGAGAAAACAGCTGAAGCCTTGCGTCTTAAAGATGAATATGGAAAACAGCTTCAATTAATGCTTAAAACCAAGCAGATGCAATGTGAATCATATGAAAGACGCATTAAAGAATTGGAACAAAGACTGTCATCGGATCAGTATTTGCAGGGGCAAAATCTCTCAAATAATGCTGTGTCTGCTTTTTCAGTTTTGGCTGTAAAGAGTGATGGTTGCGAGCCCCAAATCTTAGGTGGTCGAGAAGCCCCTGCACCTTGTATATCGACTACAGAGCCAATGGATGAGGTTTCTTGCATCTCTAATTCACTGGATGTTAAGCTGGGGTTATTTGCTGAACAGCCTGGTAGAGATCGAGAAGCAGTCGATGAAAATATGATGGATTCCCGTGGTGATCAGAATCCTCATTTGGATTCCTCAATGATGGAGCCTAATCGTGAAGAACTTCAAGACAATGATAAATATGTTGGGGATAAAGTAGTAGGACAGATGGGAATATCTCTGACGAACAGTTCCACAGCTGAGAGCATGCCTCAATCTCTGAGTGTCTTACCTTGTGAAACAGTAGAAGATCCCAATTTGGAATTGAATCTTCAGAATGGCCTTCTGCTGGAGTTGCAAAATGCACTAGCGGACAAGACCAATCTGTTGAGTTTAACTGAAACCAAACTTAAAGATGCTATGGAGGAGGTTGTCGTACTGAAGAGAGAGTTGGAAGCTAGTAGGAAGCTGCTTGATGAATCTCAGGTACTAATCTTATTGTTCCTTTTTTGTTTTTTAAGAGGACTGCGTGAACGCAGGCCTCCACTACTACGAATTACAATGTAGGCTCTGCTGCTTTGGGTAGACCTTAGATAGGCACACTTCCCTAAAGTGCAAATGGAGGTCACCAATATAGGATATGGGCCTTTTTGATTGCGTACCAAAGATTTCCTCCCTTGGAACTTTGTTTATAACTAATGGCCAATGCTTTGACAGCCTTGCGTTCCATTTCTTACCTTTTCTGTAATTTATAGCTTTCTCTTGTACGTTTCTCACTTTTATCCATCCAACCTTGTCCTTTGTCTTGATACGACTGAGTCGAATTGATTTATGTGAAGAGTATACAAATGGACACAGATGGAGGTTAGATAAATATAGACTCTGAACCAAATTTGTTAGGTCACCTTGCTAAATTATATTAGGGATCTTTTTAAGCATATTCAATTAATAGTATACTGGTTGTCAGTGTTTTGTGACGGAAATCTATCTCTCTTAGGGAAATTTGTTAGAAGCAATCTTGAGTCTAGGTATAACTTTCAAATATGATGGATTTTTGTTTTTACTCCACTCTCCTTCCTGGGGGATGTGGATAGATGCTAGCGATTTGTCTGTTTAATCACTATTGCTAGCTGAGGGAAGGTGCCAAAATGTGCATTAGTTTTTGGCAAGGTGTGATAACTGAGAAAAGAGGTTTGCCAGTGCCTCTCTTGAGATCCGCAAATGATTAGTTGAGCTCAATCTGTGGTTGGAGATTTCGCGAGAGTTCATTTGATTTGGCAATACATAATTCGTTGTAGGGCTGCCTGAAAATTTTGGCTGGTTTACAAGGACATGTTCTTCATGAACTAGTGATGGTTCTTTTTTAAATATGTATGGAATTGGATGTATGGTTCGATGTCAACTCTTCTTTTATGCTAAAATACTTTATATATTCATTATTTTTTTTTTTTTTTGGGAGGATCATTGGTGGTGTGAAAAGGTGGTTCTGAACAAAGATATCCTTCCATTTCTTCTGGGCGATTTTTAGAGTGATCTATTGCTATTTTTTGGAAGAAAACCTAGGAGACTTCTACCTAAGCTTTAGAAGACTTGTTGGGCGGCTCTGGTTGTTTATTATTATTATTATTATTAGTTTGGAGAGACCAATTCGAGATAACGACTTGGGAGATCAAATTGCTGACTCTCAGACGTTCTTTACAAAAACGATATTTGGGAAGTGTACTTGACAGGGAAGGATGGAAGAGAGATGATAAAAGATGAGGGAAGTTAAGATACCTCGGGGATTTTCTTGGTCACTGAAATGCTCGGAGGGTTCCTGCCTGTCTTGGATGAATTTTTGCAATTGTTAGGTAGAGCTCCCTAGTATGTGAAGTCGTTCTTATGGGGTCTTCAGCTCTTAAGAGTCTGTATAGAACAGTTAAATTACAAAAGAAAAGTTGGGGAAGTCCTTTAGCACCATTGGATTGGCTCACACGTGTATGGTGTCATGTCCGTGTTCGTGCTTCTTTAGATCCTTGCAAATAGAATCCAATTTATGTTATGTAGCTGTGGCTCTTATGTATCCTTGCATCTTTCATTTCCGTTAACTTTCTCCTTATCTCAATCTCCTTTGAACTACCATGGTTTCTGTTCTTTTTAAGAGGAGAAACAGATTTCATTGGTAAATGAAGTAAAGGGAGCTTAAAGAGCTCCCATCATACATTAGGTTTTTGTTGACTGTCAGTCTTCCGTTTCTTTGAGTTGTGAGGTGCACTGTCACAATGCTGCCTATGACGAACTTTCCAGCGAACAAGTTAGCCGTGAGAAATTTGGATTTCGCGAACAATATCGGCGTATGCTTGAGCCTCGAATCATGTTTGCGAGAAATGTTTTAGAAAACGTGAGCGAGGAAATACATTTGAAAACAATTTGAAAGAATTGAAGAAAACAACGTTATATGTGGCTTAAATAGCTTCTAACTCAGGGTAGGAAAAATTGATGACTACTCGCATCTATTTATAGTATATTTTAGGGCATTTTAGCCCTGGCCGGTGTAGACATGATTTTGGTGACTAGTGGCACAACATGAAATAGTAAATGTTTATCTAAGATGAAAGCATATAGAAATGGTTTGGAACAAGCATGCGGCTATGGACAACACGTCCTGGATAAGTATGACCAGGACATCCGACATGTAGTCACAAGCAATACGCCTTGGACAAGCATGACCGTGACACATGGCTTACAACATTATTCTATGCCTGTGATTTGTTATAGACTCGGTTTTATATTTTATGATTTAGTTTTCATTGTCATGATCAATAATTTTTTTCCCCGTCAATGCATTATAAATTATTGTTTATCCCTCCTTTCAGATGAATTGTGCCCACTTGGAGAATTGTCTACATGTAGCAAGGGAGGAAGGTCAAACTCATCTTTACGCAGCTACCCGTAGGGCTTCAGAGTATAGTGCACTTCGTACATCGGCTGTGAAAATGCGGGGTCATGTCGAAAGACTAAAAACCTCTGTTTTTTCTCCCAGTGGAGTGTCTGCTTTTGCTCATTCATTGCGCAGTTTAGCGCAATCTTTAGCCAAGTAAGTTACTTTCGTTTTTTGCTTAGTTGCTGCTTTTCCCAGACCATTCCCCTTCCACATTAAAAAGAGGCTCAAGTGTACCTTGTTTCTTGTCTTGTATTGTGTTGTACTTTTTTTCTGCAAATGAATGCATTCCTGCTATTAAGTGGAATAACTATGATACAGATCTTTGAATGTATCGCCTGATATTTGAAAAAGTAAAGACTTTTCTACGACGTTATTTCTTTTGTGAGATCCCACATCAGTTGGAGAGAAAAACGAAGCATTCTTTATAGGGTGTGGAAACTTCTCCCCTAACACACGTGCTTTAAAAACTTTGAGAGGAAGTCCATTAAGGAAAGCCTAAAGAGGACAATATCTGCTAACGGTGATCTTGGAATGTTACAAATGGTATCAGAGTCAAACACCGGGCGATGTGCCAGCAAGAAGGTTGAGCCCTGAAGGGGGCTGGACAAGGGCGATGTGCCAGCAACGATTCTGGGCCTCGAAGGGGGCGGATTGGGGGGGTCTCATATCGATTAGAGAAGGAAACGAGTGCTAGCGAAGACACTGGACCCCGAAGGATATGGATTGTGAGATCCCACATCGGCTGGAGAGGGGAACGAAGCATTCTTTACGAGGATATGGAAACCTCTCCCTAGCAGACACGTTTTAAAAACCTGAGGAGAAGCTGAAAGAGTAAACCCAAAAATGACAATATGGGTTTGGGGTTTTACACCTTTTTATTTTCCATCTAGTTTTAATTCTGGATTCTAGAGATTTTCTTGTGCTAAGTATTCATTTTATGAAATGTTGTCTGATTTTTGATTAATGAAACCAACCTAGAATTTTATTAGTTCTGGCAGTGACAATGAAAATGATGGTACAAATGAATTCCGCCAATGTATCTGGGCTATAGCGGAGAGAGTTGGAATTTTGGTCGAACAGCATGATAAATGCGCAAAACTCGAAGCTTCCCGCGAACAACTTGTCAAAGAACTGGAAGAAAAGAAAGAACTTGTTAAAACTTTGTACGCAAAGCATCAACTCGAGAAGCAGGTAAACTTCCTTTGTGAGCTCCCCTTACATGATCCACTGACCTACACTATTCAAGTATGTCTTTAGTTTACGATCGGGTTCCGATTTTATTTGATCTCGAGGGATTTACCGAATTGCTTCGTCATACAGGCAAACAAGGAGAAGATTTCTTTCGGTCGACTGGAAGTCCACGAGATTGCTGCGTTTGTTCGCAATGCAGCCGGGCATTATGAGGCGATCAATCGGAATTGCACCAACTACTACCTGTCTGCTGAATCAGTGGCTTTATTCGCAGACAATCCTCTAACCAGATCTAACTACATTGTTGGGCAGATTGTCCACATTGAACGTCAGACAGCGAAACCGTCACCACCTTCTCCTCAGCTCGATCAAGGTAGGGTGGATCAAACTGATCGTGTGATCCCCGATACGGGGACCGATGGGTTGACCTTGAATTCAGGTTTATCTTCGAACCTGTACGGGTTCCCAGTCGGATGTGAATATTTTATAGTGACCATAGCGATGTTACCGGATACTGCTATTCATTCATCAGCTTCCTGATCCCTGAAAACAACAGACTGACATGATGGAAGATCCCAAGTGTACATATGAATAACATGGAAGAACAATTGTGTTGGGAGGTGAAGTTTTTAATTTCCTTTTTTTGTACAAATGATGATGGTGGAATGAGTTTTTAACCCCTCACTTTTTACCCATCTCTCTGTAAATATTTTACAGTTCAGTGTGGAAACTGTGAATATTATTATTACCACTTTAGTCTTTAGTTTGACTTTACTTCAGACTTCTCCATATTTTTTCATATAAGAACTTCATGAACTTTATTAGTTGAAAATGTCAATGTTGAGCCACTTTCTAGTTTCTCATTCATTCCCTCACAAAATTCTTATTTTCTCACTTGGATTTTGCAGGGTTTTCTTTTGGATTATTTATTATATATATATATATATATATAGTGTTTGGTAACACTGATTATAAAATAATTTACGGAGAATTATGTTTTTAATTAGTCGATTTTTAAGGAATTTTATGTTATTCATTTCATATCAAGGCTGATTTTTTCTTTGGATAACGACTATTTTAAAAGTTTTAACAATTTTAAATCAAATCTAGCTAATGATTGAGGTGATAGGTGATAGACATAGAATATTTGAGAAAGAATGCAAAAAAGTTCGAAGAGGATTTTAGAAATGAGATAATCTACCTTTTAAGTGTTAGAGAATTCAAATTTGTGATGAACTCTTTAGGAGTCCTAAAATGGGTAACAAATTGTGCCTCACTAGGTGACATCCTAATAGCGAGCAATATGCTAAAATTCGATCCAACCTAATAGTCAGCAATCCGATCCCAACCTAATAGTAAGCAATTTGTCAAAATTAGATCCAATCTAAGAATAAGGTTCCGAATTTTAAAGATAAATAATAATAATAATAATAATAATATATGGTGTTCTCTCTTACTTATAAAAGGCAAGAAATTAAGGAACATTTTGGGGAAGCATAGGAAGGAAAAATGTGTGGCTAAATTTGTTTCAAATTGTATATAAAACTCTAGAATAGAGTGATTCACCAAAGGG